GGCCCTGGTGCGTAACGGATAGCGGACTCGCGCGGAAAGCGTGAGGTGCGGGTTCAATTCCCGCCTGGGGCACGACTTTTGCCCACAACTCAACGTTCCTGTGATAGCACCTGACTATAGAGTTGACGTAGGCGGGAACTGATTGATTCTGATTAACTGATTTGGTGATACTACTAGTTTTCAAGTACCTTTTATTTGAAAGATTCGTCGTTGAACACTCGTCAATCATTTGTCCTATGACCGGAGTAGAACCGAGAGTTGACGTAGGCGGGCAACTGATTGATTCTGATTAACTGATTTGAGGTGATACTACTAGTTTTCAAGTACCTTTTATTTGAAAGATTCGTCGTTGAACACCTCGTCAATCATTTGTCCTCTAGGAAACACTTCTTCGAGCTGCGCAACATGCTAGACGAGAAGGAAGATCAACTGTTACATTAAGTGATTTGCAGCATATACTCCCTAGCATACAGCTGGACTTCTCAGTTTAAGTCTTTCATAGTACAAATCTCTTCAATATCAGGCTTTATTAGTGCTACCTCTTGAGTCATATTATTAAATTTCATTGCCTGTTTAATTTTCGCATAACAAACAAAGTTATTATTGTGTATAGGCTATGGCACATAGCCTCATTTCTGATTATTATAGCCGAAAGTTCTTTCTTGAAAGCAATTCACAACACGAATAAATATATCACGAAATAAACTCCAGTCGATAATAATCGGCTAGCGCTGTTTAAACTAGCGTGGACTAGCTGCTCATATTAAATAGATGAGAATTTAAAGCGCAAACTGATGTTGATGCATTTGCAAGGCCTCCCATTCTGCTTTGAATGCTGCCTTCGGATCTTGTTGAGGTGACATAGCCGCTCCTAAACAATGGAAGCTATGATTACTTTTCTGTGAAGACATGGTCCAAAGATGGCTCAAAATCTGCAGAAAATATGCTGATCCGGAGAAACCACAGCGTAAAAATTGCTAAATAGATTGTCAAAGACTTGTTCATGGTTGGCGAATGAGGAGAATTCTGTGTCTGCATGTCAAAGAAAAGCACGTGCGCACCAAACTGAGGAGATCGCAGTTTGGGAGAATGCGTGATGAGTCGATCATGACCTATGCTCTCCATAATAAATATTAGCTTGTCAGAAAGTTCTCGCGTTTGTGCACGATATTTTTTGTACATTCCATGCCTGATTTGAAAATGCTGTCTGCCTGTGCTTCTCAGTAACACATCTGTAGAATAGAAATTTGCTTGCGCTACTCGATGGTATAATGCCGTTTCACCATTGCTTGATAACCCCCTTCAAGATTTTCAAGCATGTGAAAAGAGCACTTCGGACGATTTTTTCTTCGACTATAAATTGGGGCAATCCGCAATCGAAACAGCTCAACAAATTAACCAGGTGTGAGGGCCCAATAGTGCTAGAGAAAGCACTGTGCGGCAATGGCTCAACAAATTTCGTTCTGGAGATTTCAGCTTGAAGATGAACCTCATAGCGGTCGACCTAAAGCAATATCTGACGAGGATTTTAGGGGGATTTTGGAGGCTGACCCATCCCAAACAGTTCGAGAGATAGCAGAAGAGCTAGGCCTTGGCAAATCCACTGTTGCAGATGGTCTGGAACGCATTGGGAAGGTGAAAAAACTCGACAATTGGGTGCCCCACAATCGGAGTGACCGGCAGGAATCGGCACGTCTCGAGGTTCCTTCTGCATTGCTTTTGCGCAGCAGAAACGACCTGTTTTTGGGCCGAATTGTCACCTGTGATGAAAAATGGGTCATGTATGATAACAGGAGACGTTCCGGACAGTGGTTGGATTTCGACGAACCACCGAGGTAATTTTCAAAGCCGAACCCTCACGAAAAAAAGATTCTGGTCACGGCTTGGTGGTCATCGGCTGGTGTGATCCACTATAACTTTTTCACCAGGCCAAACCATCACAGCAGAACCCTACTGTGAAGAAATCGACGAATTGTACCGAAAATTTTGTCAGATGCAGCCAACACTTATCAAAAGAAAGGGTCCGATTCATGACAACGCCCGCCCACACGTTTCACAAATCACTATCCATAAATTGAACGAATTGGGGGTTGAAGTTCTACCTCAACCGCCATATTCTCAGACCTTTCGCCAACCGACTATCACCTTTTCTAACATTTTCAGAACTCCCTTGCTGGAAAATACTTCATCAATCAGGACCAGGCAAAAAAGCCTTAGTGGATTTCGTAAGCTCTCGACCACCCAGTTTTTTTGATGGGATTTCTCAACTGCTGTCACATTTGGCAAAAGTGTGCTGATTCGAATGGTGCCTATTTCGATTAAATCCGATGAGTTATTAAAAGTTACGATCGTTTAAAGTGAAACACCCAAAACGCTGAGAACTTTCCGGACAACCTAATAGATGAGAATTTAAAGCGCAAACTGATGTTGATGCATTTGCAAGGCCTCCCATTCTGCTTTGAATGCTGCCTTCGGATCTTGTTGAGGTGACATAGCCGCTCCTAAACAATGGAAGCTATGATTACTTTTCTGTGAAGACATGGTCCAAAAGATGGCTCAAAATCTGCAGAAAATATGCTGATCCGGAGAAACCACAGCGTAAAAATTGTGATTGTCAAAGACTGTTCATGATTGGCGAATGAGGAGAATTCTGTGTCTGCATGTCAAAGAAAAGCACGTGCGCACCAAACTGAGGAGATCGCAGTTTGGGAGAATGCGTGATGAGTCGATCAATTCTCATCTAATCCACTGCCGCAGACTTGCCGGAGTCGGGGATTTTCTCGAACAGAACATTCGAAGATATCGCGGATTTTACAGAATAGTACACGATTCCCTCAACCCAACGATTTGGAAGCGCGAAATTCTCCCAAATCATGTATTCCAACACATTCACAAAGATCCTAGCCTAATTACCCCCTATTTTCTGGGGTATAAAGCGCATTTCGCACAGTAGCACGCAAGGAAAATAGTGAACACAGCAACAATTTCCTTGCCTTTTGCATAGTTCAATCCCTCAGTTGGTTCTTTGAGTAGCTCTTATTGAATGTGGATCGATAGTATTGATAAAAATGAACAAATACACGTAAATATCAAGTTAGGAAGAATTATTTGCGGCATTCAAAGCGAAGGTGCGCCCTATACACGGCTGAATACTCCAGAAAACAGGGTCTACTTAATCCATCTATCACTGTATCCTAGCCTCACCACTCATTTGATCCTCCATAGCTTTGGACTGATCCGCGGCATTCTCTTCACCTAGCACCAATGTGTATATCGACCTCAATCCAAACATACACAGAAAATACCACGAAGCCGATGATACCTGAAAAAAAACTTGGAGATCGTACCTATAGTTCTCTAGTCGTTCGAAACGCTGACGCAACGTATGAACGCACTGTAAGCAAGATCCCTAGTTGGGAGATTCACAATTGATGACAATTTAACCCCCTCTAGATGCACCCCAACCGAAGCTGCAAGGAATGAGTGGAATATAAGCAATTACTATCCAAATCTAGAAGATGGAGAAGGCGTGTCTGCAGCGTACCATTCGTTTCTCGCGGGATATTTCCCGCGAGAGACGAATCGAAGAAACTGTGATCCTCTCGTGAGGTAGACGAATACATAGTTAAACTTGTCGCAGATATGTATATTGCACCAAAAGCGCAGCTGCAATCTCGTTCAGATGGAGTATGTAGCCAAGAACACTCCATCTCCGGGATATGAAGTGTACGTATCAGGGAGCAGAAATGCACTACCTTGCCAGGGACTGCACTCTTCACTCTATCCAAACTCCTCCTCCAAACATTACTTCTCCTTCACGTAGGAAACAATTACTGCAGGCAAATACGACATAACGACAATGGTAACTGGAAGAATCGAAGCTCAATTCAGCACGAAGCAGCTTCTCAATAAAGCGCTCCAGTGACATCAAGAAACAAGGTTGCACGGTCGCATTCATTATTCCTGCGAGGTCATTCACGAGAGGCCGTGTGCAGGGGCGTGAACTGCAGCGGTCATGCCTAACTGCTGCTTACATAGGACGGCATCAAGTGGAGGAAAAAAAAACTGCAGATGGTTTCGGTCCGTATACTCCCCCCACACCCACATCCTCCTTTCCTTTGTAAGGATAATGATTGATGATGAGGAGTATTCGCTCTTTGTGATTCCCTCGCTCTACTACGGTATCAATTGGTGGAAAAAGCTGTTGTGTCTATGCGTAATCTTAATGGACGCAGTACGTGGGGGCATTTTGCTTGTTCCCATCAATCACCACCGATGTGACCTGCATGGATGAGATGTGCAGAATCGTGTGGATCTGTGCAATAGTATGACTTTGCTTATAATTGTCAAGTGTACATGTCGTAGTTGAACAAACACTGGCAACAGAAACTGGCAAAAATGCAAAATGCCCCCACCCCCGCCCCCCCCCCCCCCCCCCCCCC